TGGTGAGTCCGTGGCAGCGCCGTGCAGTGCTGCCGGGACCTGCCGGCGGCAGCTGCCCTTAGCGCGCTGTGCGGTGGCTCCTGCTGGCGGATGGCCCGCTTCCTCAGGAGGGCGGGGACCTCCCACCCCCGCGCTGGCTCCGGCTCCGTGTTTGCCCCAGTACCTCATGCCCTGGGGCAATGGGTCCCCCTGGTCCTGAAGTGATTCTCCCTCCACAGCTTCAGTTCAGGCTCTGCTGAAGCGTTTACCACCACCGTAACGGCCTCGTGGTCTTATGGCCTCTAAGTCAGAGAAATGAAGACTGTTCCCTGTGGTGCCCCAGACCTGTGAAGCAGTCCTGCATATTGGAAAGGAGAACATTTTTTTCTAGGAACTCTTGTTACTGCTATAGCAATCGCCAGAAAACAGGTCACTTCTGAGTACGTTCTCTCATTTTTGCATTAATAAAGCCCAATAAAGCTCATGAAAAAAAGATCCAGTAAAAACGTAACTGTACAATCAAATGCTTTGATTTGAAGAGTTCACATTAATTACAAGTGATGCAGTGCTGCTAATTCTTACAATTTTATTGAAAGCTTTGCAATACTTCTCTTACAGTCTATCTTTTCACATTAGTTATCTAAAACTTTGTTATAGAGCTCTGTTTTCAGCTGTTTATAATTTTGCCATGCTCTGCTGTTAGCAATGAAATTTTGTAGGCCAATTGTCTGCTCTTTGCTCACATTGACAGTGGGGAGTTTCAGGAAAAATACATATCAGCTATTTCCTAGGGTGGATTTTTAGGAGGGCTGCTTTGTAGATTTCAGAAACTCCTTCCAGATTTTTACTGAGATAATAATGCCTGCTAGCCTTCAATCAGGGAGTTCAAGAAGGTAGTTATCCTGAAATCCTTTTGCTGTCCCAAGGAATGCAGCCAAATTTGTACAAAATAAAAACCCCTGGAAAGTTTCACTTCCTAGAAAGTTTCACTTCCTAGAGATTTGGAGTATTATTTTTCCCAGATCATATTTTTACTAACTATTCCTCAATCTCTATCAGTTCTTACATATTAACCGGTAAAAACTGATTAGCATTCCCATGAGCTAATGCCCTATGTCTCAGAACTTTGGAGTCTGAAAAGCATTTAGGGGAGTTGTGTCTTTCGGCTACCAAAGACGACTGAGAAGAGAGAGAGAATTCCTGCCTGAGAACAGGGAAAACCAGATTAAGATAAAGCAGTGGTACATGCACAGAAAAGAAAAAAGCAGCATGAGTGTAATGCAAAGAAGAGATGTGCATGAGCGGGAAGACAGATCTAGACAGAGAAATATTAGAAAAGGCAAGAAAATACTGCATGTTTAACATGAGAAGAAACACATGAAGCTAGGCTGGCCAAATAGGCACAAAAGGGCTTATCCTCCAAACAGAAGTTAGACTGCTCTCATGTTAGAGGATCTGGGATTCAAATATCAAGTATGCCTCATACTGAAAACCCTGAGATTGAACTCAGGAATTCTGGACATTCATCGTCTGTTCTCAGTGAATAGCTGTAAGTCCTCTTGAAACACTGCATTTCTCAGCAGCTGATCCATATAGAGAGTACATTTTCATCTGAATGTATCTGTTCAAAAATATGCATCTGATCTGAAATAAGTCATTTGGGCTTTGTCTGTAGACAGCAGAGAGTGCCCTCCACACTGCAGTTCATCCCACCTGGGCTCAGGTATCCGACTTAGGATAGACTTGATTCATTTTTTGCCTATATACTACAGAGAGAGTTGAGAGCAGGGGTTTCCACACTGAGGTCTGTGAAGCCCTGGATATCACTGCTTACCTGGAGGGAGTTCATGAAAGATAAACAAAATGAAAGTAAGCACATAGATCAATATATGTCATTTCTACTGGCATTTAATCGACCTCAGATAGTATTTTAAGATCAGTGCTTCATTATCAATAAGATATTCTTTATCAGTGATAATCTAACCAAGTCACCATATGATATACAACTCAACATGAAACTTGTAGCTTTCTGACTGAAATCATAAACAGTTGTCTTTGACTTGAATTTATCTGAAAAAGGACGAGGAAAAGAGAGACTACAAATCCCAGAGTGCTGCGGTTTCTTCTTTGAGCGCAGAAGTCTCATTATGCAGCCTCTGCCTACTCAAGGCACAGACAGAGCCATAGTGAGGACAGCCCAGAAGCCTTTGGAGCCACCTCCTTCTGCGTTGTTTTCATCTGAGTCTCTGGATTTGAAGTACAGTGCGTTTTTTGAATTTTGGCGCCTGTCTGCAAATTGTAAACCAACTGCTCCTGGAGCAGCTCCAGCCCTCAGCCACATGCCTCTTGCTGGAGTTTCTAGGATGTGCGTGTTATGTATCTTTTCAAATATAGCTGCCTTCCCCCAAGCAAAGCACAGGAGTATTTGTAAACACTAAGCCATGCACTTACTATGAACTTTTTGCCTCCCAATGAGTACAGTTTCCAACACTGCACCACACAACACAATTCCAACACAGTATGTGGAAGACCTGTAATAAAATTCGGTTAGATTAAGCCAGAAGAAACTATTTTAGGAATTCTGAAAGCCTCTGTACAAGCATTTTCGGGTTAGCTTATTTTTCCTTTCATGATTTGCCACTACACTGCACTCATCTGTCATATTTTGGAAATCCTTTTAAACCCTTTGCAGCATTTTGATTGGTAATGTAATCCAGGTTTAAATCCCATTTATTCATGAAGCTTAGCCCAAACTCTCCTATTCTTCTTTTCAGATTTTTTAGATAATATCTTATAAATTTTGTATATTTCAAGGTATTTTTTTGCCTTCTAATGTTGCCAGTTATTTTCATAGTACTGCTGTCAACTATGTCACAGCAAAATCTTTTTTCTAAATACACTTTCTTAAATATCCCTCCCTCAAACTTGGACTATTGAGATGTAATACTGTCTATGTTTTTTATGGAAGATGCCTTTCCTTAGCAGTAACCAGAACACTTACATACATATACTTCATCCTTGTTATCAGTATCCTCTCCCTGTTCGCTGAACTTTTATATTCACTTTTCCTGTCTCCACTAGAGAGAAGAGAACAGTTGGGGGGTGGGATGGGGAGAGGAAAGGATCAACTATGTAAAGGAAGTGTAAAGAGAAAAGCTGAGAGCCAGCTAGACAACTGCTGCTTTAGATGGAGTATAATGCTTTAGTCATGGAATTAGCATCTGTTCAAATACTAGTCCTCTTGATTGCTCTAATGATATGGTTTAGTATTGAACCAGTCATTCATCTCTCAGTTCTTAGTAATTATTTTCTCATTAAGGACCTTGACAATTCAGTGCTACTAAAAACATTTAATAATAAAGTTCCCTCGCTGCTTTCAGAAGGTAGAATTGATTTTTTAGCCCAGGACACAACCATTTGTTGTTTAATAAAGGGACAATCCAAGGCTCTGTCAATGTCACTTGCTTGGGATGG